AGGAGGAGGAGGAGGAGGAGGAGGAGGAGGAGGAGGAGGAGGAAGGCGACGCAACGGCGGTACCGGCGGCGCAACCTGTCTCTAGCGATGGCGGCCGGGGTGTATCCGGAAGCCAGGATGGCAGCCAGGATGGCGGGCGAGGGGAAGGAGAGGTTCATGGGGAAGGGAGTGAAGAAGTAGGCTTCGAGTTCGGGCTGGAGGTTTCGGTTGGTTTTGGCGATTCTTGGTGGGCTCTGAGTGGCGAACAGGCGGAGGTGTAAGCCTTTCATTGTTGTGAATCGGGTTCATTGGTGGACATCCATCGGTGGTTGGAAAGGAGTGGTGATTTGCATATGGACGGCGGGGTCGAACCTTTGCGTGATGGGGAAGGTGGTACCAGCGGGCGTAACAATTCCGTGAGGTTTTGTGATGGGAGCCGTTGTGCCAATGTAGCAACGGCTGCGTATCCGGACACACCATACGATAATTTGACTGACAAGAAAAACGTGGCGGGCCCAGTCGTGTGCTTGGTTTCCGGTAACATTCAGGGAAACGACATGCGCTGAAGTATCGGTGCCAGCTATTGCAGTGGGGATACCGTGAGGTCGAACGTGGTCGATGCAATGTTATTGGTGGTTCGCGTCTGCTGTCTTTTCTAAAGGCCGGTGTTGTTGGAGATCTATCTTTGCGCACGGTGTGATGGCGCTTGTCGTCGGGTTTCCAAGTACGGTGGGCCTTGACGGCTCTCAAGAACATCGACAGCAGTGGGCCACAGCGGGCATTCGAGCGTCGGGTAGTCATGCACTTTCGCTGTGGACAATTTCTGGAAGACGAAACTATNAGTACGGTGGGCCTTGACGGCTCTCAAGAACATCGACAGCAGTGGGCCACAGCGGGCATTCGAGCGTCGGGTAGGCATGCACTTTCGCTGTGGACAAATTCTGGAAGACGAAACTATTTTTTTGTCCGCTGTAGATAGATTGCGAAGGAGCACGCTAGCTGTGGAAATGCCTGCCCTACTCGACATTTGTTCCCCCGTTCGATGCTTCGTGATCTGAGTGGCTTCGGTGCCTACTTTGTGCTCGCTCTTGGAAACAGATCAATTCGCGTACTGTAGCGACTACGCCTTGACGCACGGCCCAGGCGTGAGCATCTCGCTGTGTCGCTTGCGACACCTCGGCATCGCTGCAAGCTTAGTGCTCCTTCTTTCCCGTCGCCATTGAGCAGAACCCTTGTGCGACTCATTTGATGGGCACAATAATATTGATTTCACGCAGAGGCCGAATCAGTTAGGTTCTTCAGTAGATTCNGATTCGCGTACTGTAGCAACTACGCCTTGACGCACGGCCCAGGCATGAGCATCTCGCTGTGTCGCTTGCGACACCTCGGCATCGCTGCAAGCTTAGTGCTCCTTTCCCGTCGCCATTGAGCAGAACCCTTGTGCGACTCATTAGATGGGCACAATAATATTGATTTTACGCAGAGGCCGAATCAGTTAGGTTCTTCAGTAGATTCGGCGGCGCAGCCGACGGTGTTTAAGCAAACATGCGCAAAGGAGACTAGGGCATCCGAACCTTCGCGTGTGTTCAGTTGCACGCCCTACCCGACACTACATGCTCTCCGTGCGGAAGAACCGGGTACACCTTGAAGCTTTTTTGCACACGCACGTAGTCTCAGTTTCCGTACAACTGCTTCTGGAATTACTCGACGCCTTTCAATGTCCTCTTCGTAGGTTGCGGCAGTACTGTTTCTAGACCGCCCTTTGATATCTCGGCGTCTCATCATCACCATGTAGTGTAAGCCCTTGACCGGCCAGATCCATCGGCGGAAAACCTGTTTTACACTACCAAACCGTGTGTTGGTATACACTACTGTAGACTAGTCGGATGCCGTCTCTCTCTTTCTCTCT